GCAGGCCCGCAAGTACACAGTCTCGGGAACTTCCAGGTCGTCGTAACAATAGCACGAACCATCTTTAGATTACCACTAAAATAAAGGCATTGTCACTTGAGAAAACCTGAATTAAGGATACATTTTACACGAGTAAAATTTTCGTAAATTTAACCTTTTGTTGGCGTGCCTAGCTGGTGTCCAGCTTTGGTTCAGAAAAGCTTCCAAAGCAACGAAACTACAAATATAGGTGCATGGCCATGCACAGAACGTGGAGGTCCTGTAGACAAACAAAATACCAGATTATATCAGCTTGCATAGAAGGATACTGTTTGCGAAAACCTTCGGTGCCTGCGATGAAGAGTCAAACTATTATTTTGTTACATACTTGATTCGGGGTCCTCCCCCAGTGGTGTCGGAACTATTCTAGAGTGCAGCCCTCAGGCGCCCGTTTTCGGGTTGAGCGGCGTCACCATGGGCGTAACCGTGCGTTGCAAAATGAGACATTTCCCTTGCTAAAGTTGGCAAAAACATTTTCCCGCTAAATTTAGTGGGGAAATTTCTCCCCTAAGTTTAGCGGGACAAACTTAGGTTAGAAAAAGTGAGGCTTACACTGGGCTGTGTAGCTCCGCAACGCTTGCCAGAATCGTCTCAGCAGAGCTGCCAAAAAGTAAATCCAATGAAGCTGTGTTGCAAGGTTGTGCAGCTTTAATAAAATGATCCTAATGTCAACATGCGACTCCTTCTCGATGTCATCCTGCTGATCATCTGTTGAAGAAAAAAGGTATTCGTCCATCAGACTATATCAGTATCATCTTTCAGCAGAGCACTGAAGCATTTGGGAACAACCTTCTGCACTCCAGATGTCCACTGGCACCCCTGCTGGTGACACCGCTGCTGGTGACACCGCTGCTGGTGGCACCGCTGCTGGTGGCACCGCTGCTGGTGGCACCGCTGCTGGTGACACCGCTGCTGGTGGCACCGCTGCTGGTGACACCGCTGCTGGTGGCACCGCTGCTAGTGGTGGCGTCACTGCTGTTTTGAGCACCACAATAATAAATGGTTGAATGGCAACAAACACATGTAAAACATGAGTACTTTGTTAATCTTTTCGGTCACTTTTTACTATGTTTGTATGAACACTCATGAAACAAACTTTTCAGCAAAGGGACACAGCAAGATGTCTTGCATCGTTAAAAAAAAACTTCCGTTTCTTGAATTTTCTTTTAAGTTTACCTTTTTGAAATATTTTTGTGACTAACCTTTGCTCTTCATCAAACTCCAAGTTTGTGTGAAGTCTGAAATTGCACGGAGCGATAATATAGAACTTCTCAGTCATAAAATTTGCACTGATTTCATAAGAGGCACAGTTATATACATTGGATTGGGGGAGACTGGCTCCATGATCTCCATCATTTGGATGAAGTTGGGCCATGTTATTTTCCTCACCTGTGCTCCTCCCGCCCCACTTTTTATGGAGCACGTGATTTTTGTTTATGTTTTTGGTATATGTCTTTTGCGTCTTTGAACTTGTTTACGAGGTCACCACCTGCAAAAATGAAACAGTCATTAATTAATTGCCAACAACAATAACAAAGGTATGCATTGTATGAAACAATAATTAACTGTGCTTGGGTCTAAAAAAAAATGATTGAGTAATGGTTGTTGAAACCATGTTTTATCAGTGATTTTTGCAGGGTGAAAGCGTTCACCTGGGTCGGCAGCGCGAGTATTGGCTGAAGTGAGCAAATGTCTGGTCGCATACGTTCTCATCCACGGGGAAATATCTCTGGGCAAAGGCCTTCGAACAGCTGAATACTGACATATTAGCTTCACACTAGAATGAGAGACGTTCAGAATGCGCACTTCAAGAATGAGAATGACTTCAAGAAGAACAAGAATGAGAGACTTCTAATCGAACGTGAGCTTTCTTCGGGTGCGACCATGACCAGCTTGCTATGATCTGTGTCTCAAGGAAGCACTGCCAAAGCTAGCGCACGAGCAGAGCGGCTTCTGAAGCGGAGTCGCAAATGCTTGGCAGGGTTCTTCACACAGTGATGCTGATTCTAGCAAGCAGGCTCAGAAGCCCGGATCGCGCTTAGTGTATACAGTGAGTACGATCAGGTCGTTCAGTTGAATCATAAATTTGTAAAAAGGGGTTCTTCACTTTGACGCACGCAACTTTCGTGAAATGAAAATAGTCCATACCAGATGTGCCTTCCAAGTTCTCGCCCTGCTTCGTCCAGACGTTGTCCTTGTACTTGATGTCTTTAAATTTTAGATGCCTCTTGTAGTACGAAACCGGGTGCTCTTTAATCATATCTAGAAGGACATCACTCCTCACCTTTGCCGACTTTTTCTTGGCATCAGCCTTCGCCAATTTGGCGACTGTGCTAGCGACGGGAGCCATGTTGGAGCATGAGATCCCGAGATGCTGACGTGACGTGAGCTGAACATGTCCTCAGCGTCGCATTCATGTGAACGAACCAACGGGTTAGGTACAGAGGCAACAGCTGCTCCACCGGCATTTCCATCTCGCATTCTGATGAGCACGGAGCTGACACAATACCAGTGTATATTGACTTTCTTTGCCAAATTCAGGATTGTGTTGGCACAAATGACTTGAGAGCTGCGACCTGCTTCCTGAAGTGCAATGTCGAGGGAGTGAATACTGAATGAACATACATTGATTTTGCTGCTTATTCTTGATTAGCTTTCATACCCTGCCAATCTTTCCAGACATGCTGGCTGCACCATCAAAAATGTCCCTGGAGGTTGTGGAAGCTAAGCAATAGCCCTATCGGGACGTCTTTGATCTTTGAAAACAATGTTGGTGCTTTTCTGTCAGGTGGGTTGTACATGCCCAAGAATGCTTCATGCACATCAAGTGTGTGAGGAGAAACATATCTTATGTGCACAAAAAACGTTTTTTGACCCGACGTGTCAGTTTTGGAGTCTGTCATGATGGCTTAGAAAGGTGATTGTGATTTTGTTGAGAAGCACTTGCTGAACACTGGAGCGCAGGGACATATTCTCTTTCTTCCCCAAGCTGCATGATGTGTCCGTCGCTTGAAAGGTGGTTGCAAATAGACAAACCACTTCGAGCAAGGAAGCACAACGAACTTACAATATTCCGCAAAGCCGCTCAATTCTCTTGTTGCTGCTGAAGACCGTTACGAGAGGAGTGCTGCTATGGATGCACTTTTCTCCCTCTGGATGATATGGTGCATAGAGTCTGTGATGCTCACTTCTCTCGTGCATTTTGAATTTGTGAGGTTCCTTCCGACTCGGCACTATGGAGGGACTTTAAGCCTTTCATTTCAAATGCCCTAGCACACTCAAAACAGAAAACATAGTCCTGCTTCTCATTGTAATCAATCCATTGGAACGTCAGAAACCAAGATGACTGGCAACTCCTGTTATCAGTTTTAAGAAACTTGAATCAGGTTCCAGAAGGAAGTTTTGTTTCAATTCTACAAACGGCATCAGGAGAGCTGTTTCATGGAGCATAGAGTGGTTGATGCTGATGGACATGCCACAGGCATACTCTCACTTGCTTCCAAGTGCATAATTTTCTCCTCTGGTGGTGGCCCTGTCCTTTTTGGAAATGGTGACCAAAGGTACAGCAAGGTCTGCTTTCATACCATCTGTGCAATAAATTTATGCGGTGTAATCAGAGGGTGTTGAATCCCACAAAATCAAAACATCACAAGTACATTGAATATTCTCTGTAAATCTACACTTTGCCCTGACGCTTACAGTAAACAGACATTTTGTGGTGCCATGTTTAAAGTAAAGTGAAATATATAAGCAGTAGTTTAATAGCAAGAGAAGGAGAGAGACACCTAGGGGCTCTGAGTTCACAACAACCTCAAGGCCCGTTCACACTCTTGCGACCTCTTAAACCTGGGTTCCTTAAAACTTCTTAAACCAGAGAACACACTGGCGCCATCTATTGGGAAGCAGTGTAAACTCGGCGGTCCCGCATATTTTTTTTTTTATTTCTCGCGCATTATCCTTTTTTTTGTGGCTCGAAAAACTTTTGCCAATGTTATAAACGAGCCTCTCTATGGGTATTACGCACATTTGACCTCGGAAATCCCGCAAAACCTTCGCTCTTGTGAAATGCAGTTCCAGGCTCACCGCATAGATGGCGCCACCATGCCAGTGTGTTCCCTCATTCTAAAAACATTTAAGAAGTTTTTAAGAGATCTCGTCTCTCTCAGTCGTACTCGGTCGCAAGAGTGTGAACGGGCCTTCAAAGCAATAATCTATTTGTGTAATCCACCATTTCCGGAACCATTGGGTCTTTCACTCAGCGAGCTCTTGATCGACGTGGGCATTCTCTCAAGTTTCTCTGAAGTCAAGTTCTCGTTGTTGCAACAACAAATTATGAAAAAGTGCAAAAAAAAAAGCTTTCATCAGGTCCGCCTAGAGTCATGGTATCCTCTCGACGAGACGCAGTAGCAGAAGCTCGGATGCCATCTCTCAGTAGCTAGCGGCTGTAGTGGTCATCGAGGACCACTATGAAAGGGGTGGAAAGAGACATCAATCTACGAAAAGGACAGCACCTCAAAAGGCCTGTGAGCAAATGGAAAGTCTTACATCGTGTGGTGCGTGGGACGCGAAGTGCTCGGCGGGCCGGGACCCTAAGCGGGCACCACGGGTAAAGCAAACAAAGCTTGGAGTTTCGATTAAGACTGGTTCTCCTTACAATATCTATAAACATCCAGAGACGGCGCGTGCCGCTCTAACTGTGGTGTCATCTCGTTGTAAACACACACTCTAACACAAAGCGCCATCTGAGGTACAGACGGTATACTACAATACTACATCTTCTCTTCCCTTAACTCTTTCAGGCACAGAAGTTTTGTTGAAAATAGAAACCTGATTTTATTGTATAAATAGTCAAGTACGGTGCTAAGAACACTATTTTCACAAACTAAAAAAATGTATTACCACGCAGTGACCGCATATGAGGTGGTCATTCCTGATGACCACCATGCTGAATGGGGTGGCACTTATTTTTTATGGAAGTCAAAAAAACAGTTTTTTTCTTTCCTCAGGCAGAGTGGAACATCACACGTTTCGCACATCCACGTTGTTCTGGACGGCTTCGTTTTGGTGCTGCACCTTGCACACCTGCGGGGTGTACATCTTTTTGGTTGGTGCTTGCTCTCAGTCAGGCGGACGTTCGTGTCAACGCGGGGCTTTGACTTTTTCAGTTGCACAGCTGCATCGGTAGAGGACCTCCTCTTGGCTTTGGAGGCTACTTGTGCTTCAGCAGTCAATGATGAGATCACACTGCGGCGAAAATCCTTCATTGTCATCCGCTCAGCTTCTTCAATCTCCCTGAAGATTATGTATGCGTTCACCACGCAGCAGTCCAGGAAGTGAAAAAATATCCTGTGCCACCATTTTTTTGATTTTCGATCGATTTCATACTGCCCTTACATTTGGTCAAACTTGTCTACAAAGTTCATGTTTTTGTTATAGTCATGGAGAGCAGCAGGGCATGGTACCTTGGTGACGGTCCCATCCTTGTTTTTCCGGTCGACTTCAGCCCCCTGCGTGGGGTCGTGGAAGTTCGACAAAAGGTGGACAGTTCTCTTGTCCTTCCACTTCATGCAACAAACACTCTCATCACTGACTGACCAATCAGTGTTCCCTCTTTCCATTTCTTTGTCGGCTTGCAACTTGGGCAGATGCTTCCGGTTGTGGTTCACTGTTCCGCACGCATATATTCCCTGTTCCCTCAAGTCCTTCAGGAGACCATAGCTCGTAAAATAATTATCAAAGAACACACGGTGATGCCTCCCAGATATGTCTTGACACAATTTCTTGACAACCTGTGCACCCAACTCTTTTTGCACTCCGCTTTCGGACCTTCCAGAGTAGATTTCAAACTTCAGGTTGTAGCCGGTGCTGGCGCACAACATCCATACCTTGTATCCACGTTTCACGGGCTTTTTCGGCATGTACTGCTTTAGGGAACTCCTGCCTTTGAACTTGATCATTGACTCGTCAATTGCGAGGTACTCCTTTGGTAGGTAGTTTGTTGCAAAGCTTCGTGAAAGTTCCGATAAAAGTGGCCTCACTTTATAAAGCCGGTCGAAATCAGGGTGGGCTCTTGGTGGCTGTAGCACATTGTCATTTAGATGCAGATGAGACAGCAGCCAACCAAATCTGTTCACTGTCATGATCTTCGATATGAATGGGTCATGCAGGTCCGGCGCGCTGGACCAATAATCCCGATAGCTTGGACTCCGTTTTATACCCATCAGGAGGTTCAGACCCAAGAAAGATCGCATCTCTTGCTCTGTCGTAGGAGTGTATGGTTTTCCAGCCTGCTGGGCATACAGGTTCGTCTGAAAAACCACTTCTTTCGTCAAGGAAGGGGTCCATAAAAGACTGAAAATAGAAAATGTATCTTTTTCTTCTAAATCGAGGATATGGCTTTGAAGCCGAGTGTCAGCCAGGAATTCTAGTGGTGGGTGCACCCTATAGCTCGGACTCCACAAAGGAACCTTTGCTGGGGCAACGGGAGTATCATCGTCTGTTTCCGAGTCGGTGGAATCACTAATCACGTGGCAATTCCTTGGCGATGTGGGGGAGGTGTCCCGAGCGCTTCCATTAGGCGGGCGAGGTGGTTCCCAATCGCTGTCGCTGTCACTCATGTTGTCCCCGCCAATAAGGCTGTCAGTGTCTGTGGGGATTTCTTCGCAACCATCTGAAACGGACGTTCACGTTCCTTGAACAGGATCCCCTTATCACACATCAAAATGCGAACGCCACCTCCATTGATGCATGGTGGTTACTGGTGGTAACCACCACATTGAAACGGGCAGCATCGCGTTTTTACAAAACGAAGCAGTTACTTCTTTGAACCACGTGCACGTTACACTTATTCACTGTCTCACCCAGAAAAAAGGAAGAGGTAGAGCAAATTCTTACCGCTATGCCTGTAGAAAGCTTTCGGATGAAAGGTCGGAGGCGCCATGGCACGTGTTGCACGAAACGGAAGTTTTATTTCTGAATGGAAGACAGCGCGGGGGAAGCTAGCGCCATCTAGAGTTATGAGGAGGAAGCTCGAACAAGAGCGCCGTTGGTGGTTATTGAGCTAGACCACCGTGCTGCAAGGGGAAAAAATGTTGAAAAGGTGGTCACTGGGGATAACCACCGTGCCTGAAAGAGTTAATAAAAAAAAATTAATTGATGAATTGTCACTATCCTAAAAGGAAAATACACTAGATCACACAGCTAAGGAAAACTACCACTCACTACAAAAGAATGACACTATGGAGTGACCGGACTGCAAGAACTTTGGTTTTGACATGTTCATTTATGTGCGGCCACCAGTGAAGTTCCTTGATGATGCTAGAGGTGCGCGAGATACCTTGATGTGTTTCGTGTGCTACATCAATAACTAGATCACGGAGAGTGGACGGAACCACTATCTTCTCTTTTTGGAAGAACAATGCTTTGGCGACTGCCAGTTAGTCACATACAACAAAGTATGGTCTAAAGCCAGGAGGTAGTTTATTCTCAGATGGCCATTATATGGTAATGTAAGTCATGACAACTGGTAAGGCTGTGTCCTATAGTGTTGCCTCTTTGAAATCTTTCTGTGTGAAGCATGCACAGACAATCGAAACTACTTCCTCTTCTTAAGTCATAACCTCTTCGGTATCTGGGACCGTAAGACGGGACAGAGCGTCGGGGACTACGTTGTTGCTGCCTTTACGATACCTCATGGTGAAATTGTAATTGAAAAGTCTAGCCGTCCAACGATTGATGTGTCGAGGACGGACACCTGTCCCTTGAGTGGACATTAAGGTGACGAGAGCTTGATGATCAGTTTGGATGTCGAAATTTCGACCCCAAAGGTATACACGCCATTTCTCGTAAGCCACACTCTGTGCTTGCTTTTTTATAAAACTTAATCCATGTATCCCTCCTACCTTGGCTGCCTTACGGTGGCCGGTAGTATCAGTAAATAAAAAAAAAAAAAAGCCGATAGGATTGCGAGAGCTTCTTTTTCTCCTGCAGAGTACTTTCGCTCTGCTTCAGTAAGTGAGCGGGAAGCGAAAGCAAGTCTTTACTTTAGCTGCTTTCCATGCTGTTGCTGGAGAACAGCTCCTAGCCCATAGTTGGACGCGTCGGTCGAGACGATGACTAGGAGGTTAGGGTCAAACATGGCGAAAATGGGTGCCTGTTGAAGACAAGACTTTACACTTCAAAAATTGGCTTCCATGTCAGAGGACCAGACAAAAGATGCTCCCTTGCGAAGAAGGCTACGGAGGGGTTCCAGAAGAGTAGCACTGTGCGGGGCAAGCTTACTGTGATATTCGACTTAGCCTAAGAAGGCCTTCAATTGAGAAGGTTCGGATGGAGTGGGGACGTTCAAGACTGTGTTAAACTTTGTGGAAGGGGTGCTAGACCCCCTGCAGACAGATGATGGCCAAGGAACAACAGTTCTGAAACATTAAAAACGGTTTTCGTTTAAAGTTTTATGCCAGCCTCTTTGATGCATTTCAGGACTTGACAGAGATTTTCACCATGCTTTTTCTGAGACAACCCATAGACGATTCCATTGTCCAGGTAGAACTGGACTCCTGGACAAGGTTTCAGGATTTTTGACATGACCTGTTGGAAGGCCGCTAATACAGATGCCAGACCGAAACAGGCTCGTTGAAAACGAAAGAGCCATTCATGGGTGATAAATGCGGTTAAATCACGGCTCTTTGGGTCGAGACAGACCTAATAATATGCGGATGCAAGGTCATACTTTGAAAAATGAGATGCTCCACTGAGAGAGTTCAAAAGCTGGTCGATGTGTGGGAGTGAAAAAGTGTCTATGATGAATGCCTGGTTTGGGGGGCACCCACAGATTGACACACTTACAGATTCCACCGTCTTTCTTTTTGACTACTAGGATGGGACATACCTTTTCTGATGCATTTACACTCTCAATAATTCCTTGGGAATGCCTTCTTCGGGAGAGCCGACTTGACCTTGTCATAATCGTGCCGAGTCACATCACCACCAACCTCGCACGGCAGGACTGTTATTCTGGCCAGGAGTCGCAACTATAGTCCATTTTTTTCACATGTTCTCTCCAAGTTTTCAAGAAACAAGCAAATATCTTCTTTAATCTTAAAGGGCTGTAGGAAATTTTCATTTTCAGCCGCAGTGTTGCCTGACCCTTCCAGAGTTTGACGTCTCTCGGCCTGCATGCTCTGCCTCCACCTGAGCTATCCAAAGCTCTTAACTTCTCCCGTTCCAGCTCCCTTTCCTCTTACTTTCTGTCATAGAGACACCCTTTCTCTTTTCCTGTGATCTCTCTTCGCATTCCCTGCAGTACAGACTCTTCGTCCTCCTCAACTTTTTTCTCCTCTTTATCCTTTCCTTGATTACCTCCGTCCTCCCAAGATTACGAATATCCAAAATATATTTCAGATTGAGGCTCCTATAGCCACAACAGCACTTTCAAAATAGCACTAAGGGCCCCTCTTTCCTGGCACGTTCGGTGAGAGGAGATAATTGTGACAAAGGGAGATCTCAACATTTCTCCGCTCTCCGCAAGCCTTACCCGAGCAGTCAAAAACGCTGCACGCGTTTTTTCAGAGGCGGCACATGAAAGGCAGTTGAAACCTCTGTGTATGATGTCACACCCAGAGGTTACAAAAACCTCTTCTACTTCCCTCTAAGCAAGCTTGACCATCTACTCAAACCTGGCAAATCTCAAGAGAGTGGAATGCTCGCTAACACAGCAATCAGGACTGCGCAGACCATCCTGCCGCTGCCATCCGTAGAGCATACTATTTACGGAAAATGCAACTCTTTTCTGACTCCTGGAGTTAACATCTACAACTCTGTAATGGTTCTGAACATCAAGTGCGTGCATATGTGCGAAAGTAACTAATATTGCCTCAAATTTTTGAAGGAAAAATATAGTATTTTTGCAGTTGCAGCTCGAGAAGTGCACACCACACATAAATGCACATTCAGTTATGCCAAATATCCCTCCTTTCAATAAACAAGAGTTTATCTGAGTACTCTTCTTTAAGAGATGGGAGATGTACTTTGTTCTACCAACAAACACTTTCTTGTATTTCGTTCAATTTCTGCGCATGCAAGCCCATGCTCCGCGTGAAGTTGATTCCTGTGAATGCCAGAACACATGACCCAGTGCCAATGATGATTGCATTAGCATGCTTCTGAACATTAAAAGCCCTCCTGTAACCCCTAGTTGTCTTCAAAGTACTGAAGAATTTCCGGTTTGTAAAAGAAAGAGCCCCGCGAGTTTGCTAACGTAGGTAGGAACTGTGAGAATTTTGTGCTGCCTTCTACATAAGATCCTGGGAGTGCAATATTGGAAGATGGTTGTTTCGGATATTTAATTTCTTTGCGTGCTTTAAATAGTCAACCACAGTACCTATTGAAGGAGCAATGCTGTCACTTGCCTGCTATTTCATTTACGAATGCCAAATAGTACCCCTTGTCTTTGTCATTCTCACCCCTCCAGTAGGCCTGAACCCTCAAAACCTTATTGTAGTCAGTAGCGTTCTGCGGTTTAATGTCTTTTATAAGCGAGACCGGCAGAATTGCATGCTGGCTGTCTTGCTCGTAGCGTACATACGCGAACATGGTCCTAAAAAATGAGCAGTTTGAGCTCGTGCAGCAGGTTAGTCAGGATGACATCGCAGGCTTTTTCTTGTATGCCCCTCGTGCCATCAGCTCTTCTTGTAATGACTCGTCGGTGTCTCCCCGTTCTCCGTTCCGTTCCGGAGTTCATCTTCTTTTGTCTATTCCGACATTCATATGTCTGAGTCACGGACTTGCTTAGAGCTTGCTTTTCGAACTGCCCTCTCAGGGAGTCGTAGAGTTCTACAGCACATTGGAGTGGAGCTGTGTCCACTCCAATGTTGACACTCTGCAGTAGCTTGGTAGTGGCGATTAGACGCTTCAGCATAAAATTCTCCGAAAACTGACACAAAGTATGTTACAAGTCGTTCTAGCTGTTGACAAAGGCCTGTAGCCTCACGTGCCTTTTCGTTTAGATCGTTCTCAAAAGCCGCCAAGGCAGCAAGGATCTCATTCCAAGACTCGGCCATAGAACAAGCGGCATCATCATGCGCTGACCATCTCATCTGCACCAGGCCCTTTAAGGAAAGTGCCCCTTTGCTGAAATGGAACTCTAGCACTTCTGCGGGTTAATGCTGTGCTTATAGATGCTCTGAACTAAACCAAAGTATGTAGCGGGACTAAAAATTTACAAAATGGCGACACCCCCCCCAGGTGCTTTACTTATGGTATGCACTAACCGCGCTACAAAAATGAGGTCTGGAAACTCGTGCTGGCTCAAGTTCCATCACTCCAGAGAATCAAATAAGTCTTTTCAATATATACTTGTAGGCAAGGAAGCCACTTGCAGGCTTCTACATTCTTGTGGCTTGTACGTTTTGGGTTTCCTCTGCCCAAAGAATGTTTCCTGTTCTTTCCCTGCCAAAAAAGAACACACTTCCCGGGACGACTGATAGTTATGCATTCTTTACTTTTCATAGGGACAGCATTTTTGTTGAGATAGGGCGTTCTAAAGCGATCTTTGGTGAGAATCAAATCTTTGATGACGTTAAGAACAATCTTCTCCCCGATTGACACCTTTTATCTGAGAGAGTAGTTTGCCCCTGCAACAAATTCAATGATGTACTTCATAGTATCCCTCACTTATTCACTCCACACTGTACGGTCACACATGTTTATGGGCCGTCTCAGCAAAAATGAATTTAGACCCGTGGATATCTGCATCCGATCCGTGATTCGCCAAATCTGATTCATTTTTATCCGAATCCGCCAGTTAATTGCGGATGTCTGCAGATATCCGCAGATAATCTGCAGATATGCAGGGTTCTACACATAAGATCCACTTAGTAAAAGAAACTTTTTTGCAAAAAAGTTCCACTTATTCCAGGCGCAATCGAGTTAAGAAAGCTGCTCTTCCGGGAGATGGGTTGTCTTGTTCTTTCTGTTTCGTCGGCATGTTGCGACAACGAGGCACATCTATTCATAGCGAAACTTATTTAATATACAAGTATTTACAAAGCAGCAGGAAAAAAAACCCGCCAAACTTCGAAAAACTAATCGCTGGACCGCTAATAGTTCAGTACATAGCGCCTTAATATTTTTCATGGTGCTATGCAACTCTTAGGGATAAATTGCCATGTAAATACTGTACCCCATGGAAATGCACATTATTGCACTTCAGAATTACAGGGCATTTATTTATTCCCTATGGATTACCTCTTGTTTGAAGCAGTTCATGTTGGTTCTCTCTAAACGAGCTTGTGATCATCAAAACAGTTAGGAGCAGCTCAAAATCTGGACATGGTGCATTTTTCGTTGCTTTTCAAGCTGCCATAATGTTTTTATTGTAAAATCTTTCCTTAAAAAAAAAAATGCAGAATTGGATTTTTCTTATTTTTGAGTGAGCTTTGCGGCATCTCAGCAAGCTCAGTTCTAAGCAGAATCTTGAAGTGAGTTTGAAGGTCAGAAGCTGTGAACAAGAAAGGCCACGCATCCTTCAGCACCAGAACGGATGAGCCAGCCTTTATTTCTTGTTGTTGCAGTGTGTGCGTCAAGGACATGAAGAGGTGCACATCTTTGTACATGGTACAGCTTTGAACATCACCTGCAAGCATGCTTTTTCCCTTTTCTTTGTTGATCTATCATCTACTGGAGTTCCCTGTGTGCAATGCAACTTGGTTTCCTTCTAGCACACTCAGCCACAGGCTCCTGTTGCATTCATGAGTCATCCGTTCTTAGGTTGTTGAGTCGACATACCAACTAATTCAATGGAGAGTCATACCCACTACTGTTTAAGGTGTCATAGAAAATATCTTTGTAAGATGCTGGGTGTGCTTCAACAACTTTGTTAGCAATGATGGCAAGACGCCTCCGAAGAGGCTTTGCACACACCTTCTCCACGCAGTCTATAATTATTTGAACCATCTTCTGGCAGCCCTTAGGCAGTGAGCCCCTGCCTTTCTTGAAGGCTGTAATAAGGGTTCGTGGCATCGCACTCCACGGAACCGTTAAAAAAACCCGCCCAATTTGGGTTCAGCAAGGAGCTTTTCTGACTCTGTTGCTTATTAACTTTTTCTTGTTAGGTCTCTTCAAACGTTATCATGCGACTCCCGCAATAGTTTTGTTGGAATCTGTAAGAAGAGCAAAAAACAGATTGAGAGTTCATCATCTGAAGGATAAGTGAATCACTGATGTGATTAGAAAATTCTCCATTTTGACAACAAAATTTGGCTTAAAATATTCTTAATCTATTTTGTTACCACACAAAAAATAATTTCCAAGTGGGTGGCACGAAAAATGTTAACAAAGCAGAATAAAAGTACTAAACACTCCTGCACACACAATATTAGAATATTAGATATTGCAGTATAAACACCTGTTGACAAGTAGAAATTGGCCCAAGCAGGGTATCCCTCCTTGGTATAACTGAATCTTTGGAACAGCACCAACTTGACTTTCATGTAATCCAAGGCATCTGCTGGTGTCATTCGACGACCCAGAAAGAGTGCTCTCCGATCGAGCATAAACGAGTTGTGGCCCATTTCTTCAATAACCAGCCCAGTTAGGTACAGGCATATTATTCCTTTTTTTTTTTGTCAGTTTCAAGTCGAGACCTGGCTCAGTCAGGCAATGAGAGCGTGGGAGAAAATCAAGTATCCCCAGTGAAAAACTCGGAAAGTGCACGCAACCTGAAAGAGAGGGAAATGGAAATCGAGACCTTAAAACTGCAAGTAGAGCTAGAGAAGCTGAAGTTGGCGCAGATGTAAATGAGAACAAGCAGTGGAGACCGGGATCAGAGGGAGTGCAACAGGATGGGAGACTACGCGAAGGATATGAGAGTGGTGCTAACCAAAATGCCAGACATCGAGCCATTAGTGCCTGCTTGGTTCAAGAACGTCGATACGTTGTTGGCATCACTCCAAATTCCCGAGGACGTGCAGGGCGCCGTTATCCTGCCCTTCTTGAATGAAAAAATTAGACCATTCAGTGCAGGCCAGTTGTCTAAACAAATAACGCCCTACTTGGAACTGAAAACCAAAATTCTGAGAGAGCTAAAAATGACAGCAAATGAATATTGTAGATTCTTGTAAGCACGTAGCCTCAGTTTACCATGAAGCTAGAGACGTTCTTGGTATACTACCTAAGCAGTCGAGAGATTAAAACGAACATATGTGCTCCAAAATTAAACGAACGAGTGGCTGAGTCCGAAAGAGATAGCGGAGCTTGCCGAAAATTTAGAGGAAAGTTACCGGATCAAGAAGGCTTCTGCCAAGAATAAGCCATTTCCAAAACCACCCAATAGGGGTAGGTTTGAGAAATCAGAGACTAGATAGTCCGCGTCCGGTAGCACGGGAGATAATGAGGAGCGGACAAACCAACCGAGGTGTTTTAACGGTGGCGTTGTGGGCCACTTTCAGCAATAGTGCACGCAGGCACGATGGCAGAGGGATCAAAGTCAGAAGGACCGCGAAAGGCCCGAGCAGGGCAAAGTGGTAGCCAGCGTAGCGTTGCCTCCGGAGCAGGAAGTTGAGCCAGAGGAGATACATGAGAACCATGTAAGGGAAGTTGGCACAGGTCTTAAGTGGGTGAAGTTACTGGCAGTGGACCAGCCACTTACGGCATGCTTAGATTCGGGATCAGAAATCGCAGTATTGAGATCGGACGTCGTGCCTGTGTCGTGCTTAGAACAGAGTTGTGGAAAGATAAAGTTAAAGGGAGCGTTGGACAAATGGTGTCTGCAGACTTAGTCTATGTTCCTCTTAGCCTGTCGGAGGAGGGAGGCAGTGTCAGCCAGCAGGTGCCGACATTGTGTGCGGTGACAAAGGAGCTGTCAAGTGCCCTTAATGTGTTGCTTAGTACAGAAGCATACGAGAAGCTGAAGCGAGTTAAGCTTGTGGTCGAAGATGAGGCGAGAGAAATAGACACCATGGAAAAACAAACTCATAAGGGTAATCGAATACGGCAGTGTGCACCAAGTGCAGCTGGTACAGGTAAATCAAATGAGTCCAGTATTCCATAAAGTGTCTCAGCACTCATGTAGACTCGACAGGGTACATAAGAGGTTGGTTCAGTCTGGGTCCAGATGGAGGCCGTGGAGCTCAGTACAGCTACTCCCTAATGGGGTTCCTTCATCCAGGGTGAAGACTGAAGCCCTGAAGGCGATTTTACGAAACAGTTTTGCTCAGACTGCTGTCATTCAGTGTTTCTTTTTGTGTGCTATTGGGACGTAAAAGCTTTTTTATAAGTAAATTGTTGAACCGAGTGTAACAAAACTTTGAACAAATATGTCTTTAGGTAGCATATTTATCCTACTCAAACCTTATGCGTGTAAATTTCAGGAAAAATAAATTGAGCGTAAGAAAAGCTGTTTGAGCCTTCCAGCATTTTTGTTGATGCCCATACTTTTGGTCTTGCATCTTTGAGTTAAGTATGCCTCTTCTTTATTGTTTTTTCTTGGGTTGTAGGAATCTGGATTAACCTATGGTTACGGATACTGTAAACGACTAAATTTTCACAAGGACCTAATTTTTGCAAATTTCGCAAAGACCTAATTTTTGCAAATT